TACTTCCATTTCGATGATAACAAAGTTTTAAATATTTTGATGACTAGAATTCGATAATAAATGTGAATCTAAGTGTGACAACCACTTAGTAATAATTAGCATGTTACAATCTTCTTACAAATCTGATGAATTCTCACAACTGAAATGTTATGATAAAAGATTTATGTTTATTGTTTGGTGATCTTCTCACGTTCTATCCACAAACATACACTCAAATGTAGCCAAAGTGTCTCAAAAATAGATTAAACGAATGCATAAAAAGTTTTTATTATCAAAACAAAAATAAACATTTACTATGGGCGTAGGAGTCGTGATTCTTGGTAAATTGATTAGAACTTGTCGTATTGTCTTCAATTTCTGACTCATTAGTGTCAAAAAAATGTTTAAAAGCTGTGGTATCAGTTATATTGACTCATGACATCCGTCATAATTTTTAACATTCAATATTATTAAAATATTTTGATTTACAAGACTTTTCTGATGTCACGTGTGCTTCCTGAAATAATTATTTCAGTCTTGACATTTTTTACTTTTTTTTTATCAGTGACTTATTGGATGAATATTGATGATATTCGATCATGCAATGGTGAACAACTCTAGTGCGTTTATTTTGGGATATTGATGTCTTAGACAGTAATTCTTAAACTTTAAACTAATTAAATTAGGGTTGTCGCTTGAGAAAGATTTATCAGGCTTCTAAAATGCTATATCCTATAATCAAATATCATACTCTAAAGTATTATTATTAATAGTATTATTATGGTACAAAGAAATTCTTAGTAGTCATTGAGCAAAGCCAAGAATTTTATTTGAAGAAAGGAATGGGGGGGGGGGGGGGGGGTTCTGGTTGCTGGTTTGAAACTGTTTTGTATCGTATCGAATATTGAATAAGTTTTACGTTAGAGTACTTTGCCCTAAAACCCAGCTGACATCGCTTTTGGCACCTTATAGGGGTGCTTCTACTATGCGGTGCAATAAAATAACTAATTATAAAATTTTCGTTGATTAAAGTTGAACTTTTATGTCTCGCTATGCGATTTTAGGTCCTTTTAAATAAGACTTAAGCTACCATAATCGATTATTGCATCGCTATCAATGGGGAACCTCTTATTCTTCTCCTTTTACATATTCCAACTCTTACACATTTTAGCTCACAATCTTCGGTGTCATTAAGTATCATTTTTCATTGCAATATGTAGATATTAAGGCTTGATTATTTGAAAATTAAAAAAACACCAAACAATTTTTTTTTTATTTTTTAAGTGACAAGTCTTACTAGTCGTGTTTAAAAATAGAATAGAATTCAAAAAATAAATTAAAAACCAGAAAAGTTAAACCAATCAATCATAAAAAAAAATCATATGTGACAAAATATCTATGACCTGATCAACCTCCTCCATGAAAAAAACGTGTGTCAAAAATATACTTCCTATACAAATTAAAAACTGCATGATCTTCTGTCTATGATCTTATAGAAATAGAACAAACAAATTTAAGCATGAAAAATTCAACGACGAAAAGGCAACGCAAAGGATTTTTTCTATCCCCACAAAATTTGCCTTGTACTTAATTTATTTTGAGTGAGAAATTAACTTCATTTTTTAATTCAACTTATACGAGAAAAATACAGAACAAAATTGTACACACAATAATCACCAACATTCATCTATTTAATTGTGAATTTTAATTTTTTTTAGAAAAAATTGTGTTGATGAAGATTAATGTTTAGAAATTATAAGCAACAAGATGCTTAATTACTGTGTAATTTATTAAATATCTTCTTTTCTTTTCTTCTTATTCTCGATTAAAGATAGCGATAGAAAGACTTCGACAAGTTCTTTGGAAGGGCTTTCAACCAGAAAATTACGTAACTTTTTTTTTATATTCTTCTTATCAAAATTATTGAACTTGAATTTTGGCTTCAAAATGTTATTACACTTCCATACATAAAGATTTCATGCATAATATGCATCAGTGTTGTTGGTCGAGATGTTTAAGTCAAGTCAAGACAAGATGGAGTTTCAGACATAGACTTAGATAACAATTAGAGTATCATTAGGCTGTGTTAAGCAGAATATTCATTCCATCACGAAAAAACTAGGTTTAAGCTAGGTATATCTTGTATTAGCAAGCTCAGGGGTCAATTACTAGGGTTAACTAAGTCACCCTAACCTATAATCAAAAATTAACGAATCAAACATTGAGGTTGGAATGAAATTTGAGGTTTTGCTGCGACTAGGGTAGCTTATATTGAATACCACGCTTTCAAATGTTGTCCACGCGTTACTCACTTGATTAACGTACTAAGTATAAACTCATGAAAACCACAAACCTTAATAAAGTCTTAACCTAGATTAGCAAACTACCTACACAATTTGTTTCACACTGGAATTCGTAACACAAGTATTATTTCCATCAATGACAACCTTATATTTGAGGTTCGAATCTTAGTACTCAAATTCAATTTTTCAACATACCTTTGGACGAACAAAAGATAATCCTAGAATATACAGCCCCTAGAGCAGAGCTCGAAGTCGATAGGGTTCGAGTCGACTCGAGTCAACTTGGAGGTCTGTTTGCCCTAGAGTAAGCAAACCAGAATATAAACTAATAGACACTTAAGTATACCTTGCACCCTTGGCATCCTAGGCATCCTACGATTGAAATCAACATGATTGTCAAGTCTGAGTCAAATCTTGTCTAAACCAACTTAACACCTAGATTACAACACTGATCAGCATTTACAAACAAAAATTACATAAAAAATAAAATACATTCATGGCTCCAACATTCTCATTGATAAAACTGACACTCTACACTATTTACACAATTTCAGTCTATAAACATTTATACATTGACAGCCTATCGATAATTGCATAGACAAAAAGACATAATAGCACATGGTATTGTGGGGCAGCTAGCCAATCCATATTGTTCTGAATGTTCGTAAATGTATGTGAATCTGGTCACCATCAAAAACAGAGGGAAATAAAAAAAAAATAAATATTTTTTTATATAATAAGAGAAAGAAAGATGATTTCCATAAGAAAAATGAGATCGGCGCTATCAGTTTTGAGTCAATTTTTCAGTTTAATTTCATCTTTCATACCGCTTTGTCGCTGTTTGATCTTGAAAAGATATTTTTTTGTGACACACGCAGTAAATACACAAAATAAAGGAATAAATATTAAAAAAAAAAATAAATAAACAAATAAAGCTTAAGAAATTAAATGTATTATCACCTGCTTCTTAGTACTGATGTTCAATCACAAGAAGGTGTGTGACCGTGTACTAAATTAGCGGCTTCTCTTTTTTTCCAGTGCTATAAAGCTTTTCATCTTAGTGCGAGTATCTGTTGAACTTTAATTTATATACAAACTCTCTCGTTTTTAAGTGTTAATGATGTTTACACTATTGTCATTCAAAATTATTATAATATCAAGTCTGTGACACAAGTCAAATGAGAAATTTTGTGTTTACCGTCTGTGACTCTTTGAGAACTCATTGTGAAAGGATTTATGTGAGATGTTAATAATTAAGGTTTGGAAGTATGCAAAAAATATGAGAAATGTTCAAAGGAAATCTTTGGATTGGTGGGCGGATTTTTATGAGCATTTTTTTGTGATATGTGCTACAGCATCAACAAGATTTTTACAGTGTTGTTAACAAAGTTTCAAAATGCTAATTTTTTCAAAATCTAAAAGCTTTTCGAGTCTAGATCAGAGATTATAGAATAATACTAATTGACATATTGGTGACTAGTGTTGTAAGAAGTCAAAGTGCTTTTATAACTCATATGGAAAGATCCAAGTCACGAAAGTTGATCATGAATTTGAACGAACGGGTTCAAATCCTACCATCGGTCAAAAGTGACTTTTCAGAAGTTTAAATACTTTGGCTTCTTTAGTGCAGCAGATTAAGAAGTAAAACTAAGAATTAGACAAATGTGAGATGTAGGAATAAAAAAAATAGCTAGAGATGTACAAATAGCTAAAGAATTAAGTTGGTAGAATGAGAAAGATCATAAAAGCCACAAATTCATCATTCTTTTGAGATCAAAATGATTAGATGATTAGATTCACAGATTACAATTTAAAAGTGGAAATATGTAGATATGACTTGGACCTGACCCCATACAAGGGTATGCATTTATTGATTAAGCTCCAGGAGACTTAAAACCTTTGTCACGCCATTGAAACTCCTTAATAATTTTTATTATTGCAAATTGATCAAGATTACAAATTTATGATTGTTTAGTCATCATTGTCAAAGCAGACAACATCTAGCCATTAAGATAACATATGACTTCCGAAATTTACGGTCATTTTTCAAAAAAGAACAATGGATTTCTGGGAATTTCTATTATTTTTTTCTTGCTGACCCCCCTCCCCTGGAAGTCATAAGTGAACGGCCCCTAATCCATTTTAAGATAGATCGTCAAATCTATGGTAAAAATATGTCAGATCTTTATTTTACTAAGATCCAAAAACCTAGTAAACAACACTGCTTTAAATCTCTCAATACTCTTCTTTGCTAAAGAAATCAAACAACAAAGGTTGATAGGAGCAACAAATAAGCTTATCGCGTTTGTGTCTCCGCATCTCACTTATTTTTTTTCGCAATCTCGTTCTCCTATTAGTTAATGATTTAATTCTCATAATTTTTAATATTTCGCTGTTTTGCTACAGATAATAAAATTTCGTGGCTTTAATTGCTACTGATATGACCTAATAAAAAAATGTTTAAAATGTATAAAAGTCACACATAATTCTTCCTTCAAACTGGCACAGACTTGATTAATTTTCTTCTTTTTAGCTGAACAAATTGCATCTAATTTGCTTGGGTAATGAAATTGTACAATAGAAATTATACCTAGCGCATCATGCTCGTATAATTTAGATGCAAATATTCAGTAAAGTGAAGGGTTTAATGGTGCATGTTATTAAAAGTGTCTTTCCTCACCTTATTTTTTTATTTTTTTTTCTCGCAAAAATTTTCAGACGAGCGACAAGACGTGCAACAAAAGACATTCACAAAATGGATTAATCATCATCTGGCAAAGGGTGGATTTGACCCAGTAAAGAATCTTTATGAGGATTTACAAGATGGACACAAATTATTGGCCTTACTGGAGGTTCTCACGAACCAAAAATACGTAAGTGTATCATCTTTCTGACATGACATGCGAATAATAATAATAATGATTTTTTTTTCTTTTTTTAGAAACCTGAGCGTGGTGAGTAAAAGTTGACGTTGGAATTTTATTGGATATTCAGCTGTGCTTCTCACTTTTGTTTGTAATTAATTTTCCCATTTTTATCTATTTAAGGTCACATGCGTGTACATTTCATAAGCAATATCAACAAAGCCCTTAGTGTCCTTCAAGAGTATGGCGTGCGAATGGTAAACATATCTAGTGATGATATAGTCAGTGGCAATCCAAAACTAACACTCGGTCTCATATGGCTGATTGCGTTGAGCTTCGATGGTCAGCAGCTCGTAACATCACAAGCAATTAGCGGAATTGAAAAGTCATTAAAGGCGTGGGTGTGTAAATTTACCGAGCGCCATGGCTTAAAAGTCAATGACTTTACACAATCGTGGAACGATGGATTAGCATTCTTGTACATTCTCTACGAAACCATTCCAGTGAAATTTGATTTGGCAGCAGCTAAAAAGATGCATCCAAATGCAAGACTTAAGATGGCATTCGATATGGCTTACGATCAGCTAGGAATCGAAAATCTATTAGATCCTGAAGATGTGAATGTTAAGAGACCCGACCGTAAAAGTATTCTAATGTATATAATGTGCCTTTACAATGCAATTCACAAGAAAGGTCTCGATACTGATCGTAAGCGATTGAGTGAGGAGAGTATAGACGAGATTCAATTACTCAATGAGAACGAGATGAAACAGACACCGAGTGACAGTGATGGTGAAACAGAAAATAAGAAAGCAAAGCTTAATGTTGACGGTAAGATGGATGAAATTTCATTAGCAAAGTCAATTGAGGATTTGAGACGATTGACAAGTGAGAATCGTAATAGTTTCATAAGTACGGAAGTCAACATTGTACAGACAATTACACATCATCAGCAAAATGAGGAGATTAAAAACAATCAACGGCCATTGTCAACAGCAACAAACTGTTCTGTTGAAATCACAGAATATCAATCAGCAATTGAGGACGTGCTTGACAAACTATTACGAGCAGAAGACACAATAGCCGATGATCATCCAATTCCAGAAAGTCTAACTGATTCTCGTAAACAATTTCAATTACATGAAGATTTTATGCTTAAACTTGCCGATTATCAAGTTTCTGTTGGATCAGCACTTGAGGAAGGAACGAAATTATTGACTGACTCATCTGGTCTATCAATTGAGGAACAGAATGAAATTAAACACCAACTTTTCTTACTAAATGAACGATGGGAGGCACTAAGAGTGAAAGCACTTGATACACAAACAAAAGTCCACAAACATCTGGCAACAATGCAGCTTGATAAGGTCAATGAACTTAAAGATTTTCTTACGTCAACTGAAGATAGATTATCAAGAATGTCAGAACTCGGACCAGATCCTGATGGTCTCAGGAAACAAATGGAAGAGCACAAGAAACTTCAAGCAGACTTGGAAGCTCAACAAGCACTTGTTGAGTCATTAAGCAACTTGGTGATAATTGAAGATTCCGAATACTTTAGAGATTTAGAAGATAAGTTAGTTGCTTTAGAGGAACGATGGTCGCATGTTGTTAAATGGACGAGTAAGCGATGGGATAATTTACAGGAATTGAGCTACAAGTGGACGAAACTAGCAGAAGAACATAGAGTTATTAATCAATGGCTTGATTCCCGTGAGAAATGTTTAAAGGATATGGAAACGAAGGAAGTAACAGAAATTGGGACTGCAATTGATAGAATCAAGTGCTTAGAATTTTGTAGAGCTGATTTAAAGAAGCTACAAAATTATGTTGAAAACCTTGAGACAGTTACACAAGGACTTAAAGTCGACAATCTATCCACACTTAATATTGCTGAAAAAGTTGAGCAAATTAACGACAAAATTGAAGCGTTAGATGAAATTCTTGACATTCAGCATCAAAGAATCGAAGCAATGGGTTTCCATGTCGACAAGTCACTAACAAGAAGAGTATCAATCCCACCTGGATGGCTTAATTTTGAGGATAGAATTATTGAAATTGATGGACGTAGAAAGTCTTTAATTGCAAGGACTGTAGAAACAGTCGTTGAAGATGACGAAAAAGCAACTAAGCCAGAAGGTACATATGTCTTGACTGACTAATTAGTAATTGACCTTATAGACCCATGTCATTTAAATTAATCAAAATTCTTATTCAAATTATTATTATTTTTTTTGTAGAAAGTGAAAAGGTCACAAAACTCAACGAGAGTATAATGGATATGGTTTATTTTGTCGACGAAATTGAGACATCAATAGCTGACCTTTATCAACTCGACTTAAAGACACAAATTACTGTTTTAGAGAAACTTCAAGACAAACTTAAGAATCAAGTTGAAGACTACGAAAAGGCAAAGAATTTACTTGATGAATGCCAGCACGAGACTACTGGAGAGCTTCAAGTTGAGCATCAACATATTCATGAATTAGGATCGAAGTATGACTCAATTGGATTTAAGATTGAGGATCTTATTGAAAGTGCCAAGATTGACTTTAAAAAAGAGAAATTTTGTAAAGATTTAACGAGTATTAAGCTTACGCTTGCTGACTTAAGAGACTGGTATAAACAGCATGCTCATTCAGCGACTCCTGATGATCTTCAGAAACGCTTAGTGGATATGAAGGAAATGCAGGAAATTATTAAAGAAGCCAGTGAATCATGTGCCACTGAAAATGGCACTGAATGGGTTGAATGGAAGCGCGATTTTGAACAATTTGATCAGAGCTGGACAGACCTTAATAATGCGATAGTCACAATAGTTGATGAAAAGAGTGAATCAGCAAAAAAGACGGAAGTTCTTAAAGAATTTGAGAAGCAGACAGAAGAAGTGCTGACTGGTATCGACAGTATGGAGACATGGCTTGATGACCTTGAAAAAAATACACCAAGCACAGCCAACAACTTGCTTGAAAATGTCAATGACTTATTCCAAGTTAAATCTAAATTCCAAACCCTAAAAGAATCATGCGAACAAATGACTGTAAAGTTCCGTGAACTTAACGAATCAGGCAATGAAATGTTACTTAAAGGTGACGAACTTCTACAAAATAAACGAGACAGCAACTTTTCACAGCTAGCCAAGAAGCTTACTAAACTTAGTGCAAGATGGAGTGAAGTCACGTCACAAGTATATTCAAGAACTGCTTCATTGGAGCACTTATCAGCACAATATGGGGAATTGAAGACTTTGTTGGTATCTGAAGCTGGATATTTAGATAAACTTGACAAGTTGTTAAGGAGAAGTCCAGAGAATGCAGCTGATGCTGAAGAGATTTCTGAGGAACTAGATGTAAGTAGCTGACCAAAAAATTTGTACAGATTGTGCTAAAATTATCTAATTTGACAGGACATCGAGAACTATCTAAGAAACAACTCATCTGAGTCACGAATCGATAAAATTCAGGAAGTCGGGAATGATCTTGTTGACCTAAGCTTCCTTCGAAATGAAATCAATATTGAAATCAACGCAATGTTGGATAGAAGGGAGCAGCTTCATCATCAGGTATGCAAAAATGTCTTGTTTAATCTCTTATGCTTGCTGGACTCTTATGGTCTATCCAAACAAAAATTCTAATCTAATCTTTGCATGTTTTTTTGTGAAAGTCTTCAACCACTTCCACTTCCCTACCCTCTGTCATGCAGAAACTTCTAACAAAACTATTTTAAAATTCGCATGAAAAATTGGATAAAATTTTGTTTTTCAGGCCGAGACAAGGATTCACATACTGGAGCAGGCAGTGTCAGAAGCACAAACAAGTGAATCGCAAGTCACTGAACTACAGCAATGGATATTCCGCGTTGATGACTTATTAAATGATTTTATAGAGCACGATACAACATTTGAATGCTTACCTCACGATTTTCAGGTGATTTCCCCAATCTTTTTTATCTGTTAAACATTTTTATCTTGACACTAATGCACCCGTAATGTTCAAATATTATCACTTTTTCTCCTCATCTTCACATTGCATTATTTAAAAGATTCACTTTTATGTTTCTGTTTATTTCCATTCACGTGTTGTCTAAAAATAAACGAAAAGAGAAAATTGAGAGTAAGAAAATGTAAACGAAGAGTATGAAAAATTAAATCAAAATCAAACAATCATTTGCTGAATTGTAAAAGTGTAAAATTTCCCACAAAATCATAACATTTACAAAATATTGCATGCAGTAAGTAATAACAATTCTCAATGTATATACAATTTACACCTTATTACATGTGGATTAATTGAAAACAGATGTTTACATAAGACGGAGACAGCGATAACTCAGAGTATATACAATGTGTAGTAATAATTCTTTATTCATTGTTTTTAAACAATTTTCTCCCAAGCTGTAAAGACTAACCTTGTGCTTGATTTATTTTCAACTCAGAACACTTATCGGTACGCGGCAAAATGTAAAGAAATCTCGGAACTGAATATTGTGATTTTAAAAATTATTATTTTTTATTGATTACTGCGCTTAAAGTTTCCCGATTCAAATCACTTTAAATAATTTATAATAATGTTTTTCAAGTAACGCAGGCTTCAAAGCTTTTCTTTGATGCATTAACAGCGCCATCCATTTTCATTCAGTCGCTGATTTTGTATAGAAAGTCTAGTCAGCTCTATCTTCAGTATTCGTCTACTATATTGTGAGCATTACGTGAATCCTTACTATAGCGACTGAATAAAGTGGAATCTAGGGTATCGAGCCATTTATAGGTGAATTCGCCGATGCAAGAGTAAGGCCTCTAAGGAGCGAGTGGTTTAAGCAACAGATCGGATATCTATAACCCTCTTTTGTGAGAACTTGAGTTCGATTCCCACCGAAGACATAATACTCAATCATTGTATAAAATGTTGTCGATATGACAAGGATTCGAACAATGCTCACAATACTGAAAGTCAGTCTGTACTCTACCACTCGACTAAATAGACCTTGCATAGACTATCTGCAGATTTGCCTTAATTTGTCTTAATATTCTTGCTTCTAATCTGATAAGACGCTAAAACATATAAGAGTTTTATGTTTCATGGATATCCAAAGAAGCTCATTTAACTTTAATTCAGAATCACTAGCTATGAACTACACCTTTTGCTAGTTACACAAGAAAATCTGATACTTTGTCAAAGACATGAAGTCATTAAAAGCTTATGCGTAGTAATTAAAATTAGACTAATGCTGAAATTTCCTTAACTTAAAATTTATACAGTCGCTTTATCTCAATATTCAATTCCAAATATTTTGATGTCACCACAAAGTCTTTAAAAAAATTACCACTGAAAAATACCTCCCAAAGACTTCATTTGTTAATTAAATCAAGCATCTACAAAAATCCACAGACACAAATTTGATGATACATTTTTCATTTCTCTTCTTATTTTCCTCAAAAGTTCCTCACACTTTCGAAATTATTTTCTCAGTCACTCATAAATTTCTTTCTCTTAACATCTTGTATATTTTTACATGCATATCAAACTGAATTAATGTGACGTAAGATTTACTTGAAAGCAATTAATTTGTCATCGTTGTGAATACAAATTAAAAGTTTTTAAATTTCTTTAATTTCTTATTTTTTTTCTTCATCCACAGCGCTTGACAGAAGAATTTCAAGCAAATGCTAAGGTCTTGGATGATATGAAGCGACAAGTCGAGACGTACAAGGCTCATGGAAAAATAGAAGCAGCAAACCGTTATCAAGATCAAATAAATTTATTACAAGACCGCTTCCTTCACTGTCAGGAGAAGCTTGAGAAGTTTACATCACCACAAGCAATTTTCGAAAACAAATTGGGTCGAGCAATTGCAGACCTTAGGAACGTGGAGAGAAGCTGCTGTGTTTTAGATTTAGCATCAGCAGGAAGTCAACATGTTCATGACCAATATCAACACTGCTTGAAACTTTATCGAACGTTATCAGAAGTAAAGCCAGAAATTGAGTCAATAATCAAGTCAGGAAGGCAGTTATGTAATGAACCGTCGACTAAAGATGCTAAGAAGTTAAACACAAGAATCGATACATTAAAGTATCTTTACAATAATCTAGGAGATACAGTCACAACGAGTAAGAATGGACTTGAAAGAATCATTAGACTATTAACCCAATTTAATCAGACAATCGAAGTTGTTGTCAAATGGATTGGCAAAAATAAGCATGACCGAATGGACAACAACAACCATGAAATCCAAATAGAAAAAGTAAACGAAGTCGAAGCTGAACTTAGAAAATGCCATCAAATTTTTGACGAATATAAAACAATTGTTGATGCTGCATATCTTGCTGACATTAATGATCGTCTTAGTCTAGTCGATCGCGAGTTCAATGAATTTTTAAATTTAGACACAGACAAAAAGATGTTAAATGATATGCTTCAAACACTTCAAAACATCGATCAAGTTTCAATTGATGCATTACAAGCGATGGAAGTGAGCTTGTCAAAATTGAAGCCAGGGTCGGAGGAGGTAGCGAAGCTACATGATCAAGTAACGAAGATTGTTGTGGTGAGTTTTGATTTATGTTTGTGTTATTTGTCATGGAAGTGCCAATTTAATAGTGTAAATAGAAGTTGGTGCTGTCCAAAATGTTGTTTATCATTGCTTGCAAGGGATTTGAATTTTAAATATAACTGTACATAAATATTAACATCAGTTCCTTGCAAAGCAATTTGCATTTTTATGTGGAAAATTGTGAAAAGTTTTAAATCATTGACGTGGCATGCTTTGCATCAAAATTGAGGATATATATGCTTAATTTGTGTAATTTAAGATCAGATTTTGATGCATTTTAAAGTGTAGATCATTTTGATTCTTATTTGTTGTTGCTTTGTATATTTTATATTATTTGTGATTTGTTCTACATATTAGTTCTTACTTTTACATCACTATGGATTTTGTGGAAGTTATCTTCTTTTTTTGGTGTCGATTTTCAAATGGTTTATCATTTTCTTTGGTGCAGCGATTATATCAAAGATTTAAGAGTTTGGAAGTGTGTCAGTTGACTTGAATTAAATAAATCCTGAGCGACACATGGTGATGATGTCTTTCATATGGTTGCTATATAGACATAACCATTTATGTTTAAACAATTAATTTTTTTACTTCTATCATCACTTGACTGCCATTCGAACACCATCATGTGCTGTTCGGGACTAGATTTAATAATATTTAACTTGAAGCCCTGCTTGAAGCTAGCTATTGATTAATCATATCAAAAATCAATATAATTGTTACTAATATGGATATCATTACATTTAATTCACTGATATTTTCCAAACTCTAATAACATAGCTATTATGAGGATGTCTAAAATCATGCCATGTCACCTAGACTAACCTTATAATAGCACATAAGCAAATAAACACAAAATCGTCTCTATAATTAATTCAACATAAACACTAGACATTCATTTGGATAATAAAATAATTTATGGTAAATCGGGCTCACATCAACATTTGATTCACATTAAACTGGAAGTCTGGTATAATTTACCAACTAATCATTGTATATTACATTACATACTTAATGTTTATTTTTACTATACTTCTCCACCTATATTCACTATCAATCATTCATTGTATCAATAAAATAATTTTCCTATTGTACATAAAGTTATTAAATTTGGCAAGTCATCAATTTTCCCTATTAGAAGAACTAAATGGATATAAATCATGTAAATTGGAAACAATTAAAATCATAACACAAACATTCATTAAATATCTAGGTTTACGATACTAATGTTTAACACAAAATTTTTGTCATTGGATCTTAAAAATTCTTAATGGGGTTCATTCACACAAAACTCTTACAAAATTTTCAAACGAGCCCAAATTGTGATTTTCTGGAATGACTCTTATTCTGTGATAATATTTGGTCATCTTGTCTTTTTAATCCTAATGATACAAAAATAACTTTTGAAACCATTTAAAGGTTCAAATCCTCGCTAATTTGAGGCGAAGGCATTTTCTCAATTTTGATTACTTCTTTCTTACTTTTACTGTAACCGTATTCTTTAGGTCACAACAAATAAAACCTCGTCTTAACCTCTTTTGATTTTTTTTTATTAAGATTCGCATAGTTGCAGACCCCTTTTCCCTAAGATATGGGATAGTCATAAAAAACTGTTCAGAAATGACGTCTATTAAAAAATCAGATTACTTGACCCTCTCCCGCCTCTGTCTCATAATGTGTACAATACTTTGTTTGAGCTAAGCCTTAACCTTCTTAATCCCCTTAAAAGTTGAACTCTTGAGTGAATGAACCCCCACCAAATAGTGAACATACTTTGTTAATAATGAAAAATCCTTTTGGAAAGGTTTTAAAATTTGGAAATGGTTCAAAGATTTGGTTTTCATGTTTAAAGACATTCGATTGCATTAAAAAACAATTATTTAAATTTAAATCAATTAACCTGGATTGAGGAACACCCAAAATTTGTAAATATTTCATACAAAATCCCAATTAAAATCCTGAAAATGTCCTTCAAATCCAGCACGTCCTTCATTCAAAAACCTTCACATTCAACAAAATCTCACAAGCAAAAACTTTTTCATTATCACACAAAAAAAATTTAGGAAGCAATCGAATTTCACCTCAAAACTGCACAACTCATGATAAAGCCTGATGAAGAAGATGTAGAAATTGTTATGGTTAGTGATACAATAAGACAAAGACGATCGCGTACGCCAATTTCAGCAACATCAGATGGTAATCGTGAATCAAATCTTGTTGTAATGCCCGATTTACTGCCACAATCAAATGAGAATTGTAAGGATAATATGCTAGAATCGATTGAGACACAGTTGGTTAATGGACAGCCATATACAGTTGTAGAAGTTAAAGAAATTGAGGAATTAAAATCACCAAAATTAGGACAAATTGTTGATACAGTTAGTATACTCGAAAATTGTAATCAGCTTGAGCTACAGCAAGTGGAAACTGTTAATATAATTGATGCATCATCAGATACTGACACAGCCAATTCAACACCGCAACTGCAAAGAAAATCATTCATAAATGTCGAAACTGTCAACTATAAAGCAAATGGTTCATTTGATGAATTGCAAACAGAATTAAAGAAGGAACTGGAAACAATATCCTATTTTGAGTTTGACATAAACGATGATCAAATTCCTTCAATAGATACACAGCCTAAAAATGAAGACAAAGTGCCAGAAATTGATGAGAAAAAAATTATTTCAATGATGAAGCTGCGACCGACTTTACAGGAATTACTTATGGCAGACAGAGTTAACAGCTTTTATGCTGCTGATAAAGAAAATGATGAACCATTGGAATTTTCAGACGATGAAGAGATTCCACGATTTTCCGTTGAAATTGATTCTGATAGTGATTTGGTAGATCTTTTAGAATTTATTTAAGGAACTTGTGGGGAAAACGATGATTCTGATTCATGGCATTGGATTTTTTTTTGGGGAGGCTCTATGAAAAATTCAAATTGTTCTGAATAACTAATCATTATGAAGTGTGACTAACGTTTTATGTTAGAACTAATCAATGCCTATTGACAGTTTTGCATAACTTTTAGGGGACATTACTTTGAGGTATTCCAATGTAACAATGGATAATTTTAATGAATTATTTTGGTAGAATTCAGTTTAAATCTGTGATAAACTTCCATTAGCACTTCTATGAACTTATTGGTATTGTGTAGAACACAATTCATTACCAGGTATTAGTCTGTGCTACACCTGAACCTGCCATCTACCTAAATAAGACTAGTAATATTACAAAAATAACTCAGATTAGTCTGAATTATGATCATTGTCCAGGCAGGTTAGCATATACAACTAGGTATCTTTTTATCTCATTTTACTTTCGAAACAATGCGCTTATACTTGGCTTGTTGATTGGTTGGTCTAGGCTGGCTGGCTGCTATAAAAAAACTCTGAACTGGAAGCACCTAGAGACTTCTAGTTTTTTGCATTCGATAGCTGATATATGATAATGTTAATGAATTTAAATTCAAAAAAACCGTTAACTTTTGGACAAGACCGTTTTTCGATTAAGTGTCAGATTTTGCTTTTATTTCGTTTATATCTCTGTAACGAAAATACTTACTGTAAAACTAAACATACTGCTTTATAGAACTTTTTGATGCCTATCTTTTGGTATGTAACTTTTTATTGGAAGTACTATACTTAAGGCTGTAGAGCCTGAAAATAGGCAAAATCTGACACTGAATTTTTGGGAAGGGTATTTGAAATTTTACTAAAACTAGTCTATCTAGCTTAGTTTTACACCGATTTCGATAGTTTTTTCAGCAATAGATAGTTTAAAACAACAGTTATCATTAAAAAGTAATAAAAACAAAATGGCGACTTAATAAGTTAATTTAATTAATGTTTTTAACCTTATTTTCCTATATTTTACTATCAATTTTTAACTTACTTAACTTTTTTCTTGACACAAATATAGTTTTAGACCTTGGCTTTATGATAGAAGTCAAAAATTTTTGAAAAAAGTAGTATAATTAACTTTTTTTGGCCATTTTGTAAAATTGCCTTTAAATGGCAATTGAATAGATATTCTTTTAATTTTATGATGTAAAATGATAATTATACATCAAATATGCTTAGTTTTAGCAAAATATATCACAATATAATGTTATAGAACAAGAAAAAAGCAAAAACTTTAAAAACTTTAACCAAAAATTTTCAACCGTTTTTGAAAATTTAAATTTTTGACTTTATTAAAGAGTTGTAAAATAAACTTTTAGTTAAATTAACTAAATTAGAAGGCTTTATTACAGTAAATTCTTGCAGGAAAGTTGTAATTTATCATTAATTAATGCTTTTTGAGGGACAATAATGAAAATTTCATTGAATTTATATGTAAAATCAATTTTGGTTAATTTAACTAATTTTGTGTATTAATTTGAAAATGTGTGTATGATAAATGAAAGAAAATAAGATTCTCAACAACTTTTATGAACATATCAGCCCCTTTTACAGCTTCCTTCTTGGATAAAAATCACTTTGAATGTTTGATTTAGAAATTAAACTAACTTATAAAGTCGCCATTTTAAAATTATTGGGTTAAAAATTCAGTTTTTATATTTGGCTATAAGCCACTGAAAGAATTGTGACGATTGAATAACTAAACTCTGAGTGAATCAACTTTCAATATTTGTTCACTTTTTTCGCGGTCTTGCCCTTTTGAATCTTAAGTAACCGTTACATGAGAATTTTGAGATGAGATGAGATTCATGAGCTGAGATTTGGCATGAAGATTCATTGGTTGTTGGGGGGGGGGGGGGGGAGGTTTGAGAATAGAGGGGGTAGGAATGTCATGACTTCTCCCCCCTCCCAAATTTTTGTTTTATTCTTTGATAAAAATAACAAACCTTCCATGATTAGGGTGCGATTCATATGATCACTCAACGGATTTGAGTCTTATTTAAAGTTTGGTTCTTTTGCATATTAAACTTAGCATGAGAAATAGAATTTAAAATTTTAATCGCATCAATTTATTCGTAAAATGCTTTGTATTGATTAGAATTCAGTCAGAAGAAGCCTCAAACTTTTTACATTTTACTGCTAGTCTTCTTGCTTTTTAAACATTAGAAAAAGTTGTAGACATTTAGGAATAATTTATAGTTTATCAATTGACACTTTTAGATATTAGAAAAAGCATGCAAATTTAGTTAAAGGCTATGTTAATTTTTCAGCAAACTAGCATGCCATAGATCAGAATCACTTCAAAATTAAAGCTTGAAAACCCTCGTTAACATTCAATGATCCAAAGAATTTTAATTAAATCGTCCTTAATTTCTTCTTCCACACAGTCAAGAATAGAAACCCCAATTAAAGCAGAACCCGATAAAGAGACAACATTCAACAACGAAGAGTCATTTATGAACGGAACAATAGTCACAAGTTCTCCGTTCACATACAAGTCAGTCACTCCATTGGATCAGCGAGTCGAGCAATTTGAGAAAACTGCACGATATATTATGAAGAAATTGGACCAGACACTTGAACAGATTCAGTCATGCGATGACGGCTCGAGTGTCGTTGAACATATGAAATTATCGATAGCACCAGATGCAGCATTAATTCTCTCACAAGGTGACACATTAATCCTCGAGACGCATGGAAAAAATTCAGAATTAACGCAAAGGTTATTAAACATCCAAAAGGAATTGCGTGATAAATATAAAGACATGCAAAATTCAAACACGACAAATTTGAGTGCATTGGAGAAGAATCACAATATGGATCCAGAAAATCAGTATTCACCAAAAGAGAAAATTTGTACGGATAAGAAATTCCCAGTTGATTTATTGCACCAAAATTCAACAGCATCAATCAAGCTTGATGATCTTGTCGAGAAAGTTTTAAAGAGAGTCAAAGATTTAGTCTCGAAATCCGTCGATTACTCATCAGAAGAAGATATTACGAAAAGAATATTAGACATTGGGGTGAGTCGCATGTTTATGTCCCGCATTTTCATTCTCAGAGCATCGATAAATTTTTGTTCTTTTTTTTTTGAGAAAATCTCAAGCATGAATGATCGTTTTGAGAAAAGGAAAAAGTTTTCTCCAATTCGAGATCAGTTTTTCAGTTTCATGTGAACAGTTTTCGCGATCGGGTCTTATGTGCTGAGCATAAATAAAAGTAGAAAAATTTTCTTTGCTATTTATAAAGAAAATACGATCGGAAAATATCAAAAAGGTTTATTTTTCACGTGCCGATGGATCAATTATCGTGTGCTTTTAAATTTATCTAAGTGATATCACTTGACTAATTAAAATTTTCATCAATTTTTTTGGTGTTTATAAATAAAACTATTGAGGAATTTAGCAGCTCAAATTGTGATTGTTCGGGTGGGTAATTATTTGATGAAAATATGTCAAAAACAAATATTGTTGCTCATCAATCATGATGGATGAGGATCAATGTGCATCTACGAATGATTAAATCTCAATCTTTAAAACTGTGAAAAATCTGTAAATGGCTGTGAATTAGTGATTTTATAGTTTGAAGTCTGAGCAGAGTATAATGTGGGATATCAAGCCATATGTAGGTGATTTTGTCAGTCTGGCAACAAACTGAATATCTGTAACGTTATTTTGTAAGGACCTGGGTTCGATTCCAGATCTCTCAATCATTATATTGATTGATATTGATATGGCAAAGATTTGCACAATGCCCACGACATTAAATAAAGAATTAAATCTCAGTGTAATCTGCCAAATTACGACCGTCCTGGAAAGTTAAAAGGTCCAAAAATATGGAATGATGCCAAAGTGAAAGAATATCTTCTTCTTAATAAGAATATACGCTTTACGAGCGTAATTTTGGCTTAAAAATTGAGCGAATCAAGTTATCAAGCTTCGTCTGAATGTATATCTAATAAGATACACCATGAAAAAAATAATTCTTCAGTGCAATTTTCCATCTGCGTCTTAAAAAATGCTAGAATAATTCTATAAACACATTTATTGACAATAAATCTGGCGCCTTTCATCTAAATCAATAGCATATGGAAGAATCAATTCCTTAAAATTACTTTATTCTGAAACGTCTCTGCTGTTTTCCCCTTGGACAGAATTAAGAATTTTTATTAATGCTAGAGGTGGGGTGCTCAATTTTATACACGAGAAACTTCTTACGTCGTTGTCTTGAGAGAGTCTATAGTGTCATACTCGCTAGCTATGCCAGGAGTCAATGTTCAATTAGAAAACTTTGGAGATACAACAAACATGCTGACTATTTTCGGGCATCATTGATCTTCAATTCATCCCCTGCCAAGCTTTTGATTTTAATTGATAAAATCATCTTGCTTCCATGTCCTTTAGATCCATTACACACTTTTATTTAATCACAAAATATATCACCACGTAGCTGCACAAATCTGCAAAATAAAGCACATGCACAATTAAGTATTTGACAATACTAAATGACTTACAAGAATAAATGAGACTAATATATTAGAAGAGAGCACATAAATAAGAACAAAAGAGTAAACAAATGATGAGAATTATATCAGTGAACATAAGATTTTTTTTTGTGTGAGTGATGGGACTATGAAGAGATAAATTGCGGGAAAATAAAAAAGAAACACAAAGAGATCAAAAATAAAATCTATTAATAGGATCGAAAAGACGCCGCGAGAAGAACAATAATAAACTATTTAGATTGTTTGATGCAATTCAGTTTAAGGTTTTTGCTTACATGAACATTAAGCGGTTTTTATGTGTATATTGAGGATAATTAATGATGAAGATTTATTAATAAAACATAAATAATAGCAAAGCATCGTGTAACAAAAGAAAGAGAAGAAAAGATTAAATGAAGTGAAAAAATAGAGGAAAAAGTTTGTTCTGTAAATAATTTTTAGAGGCATTTTTACAAGAGATAAAGTTGCTGATTTCTGCATTTTGTCTGTCTGTCTGACTATTTCTTGGACAAGGCTTGGTAGATTATTTTTAAGAGAGGTTATGAATTCTTTTATGTATGGAATATTTTGTTCTCAAATAAAAACCAAAACCTTATAAAATTGAAGAATTATTCCGAAAAAACAGGGATGGGTTCTCTGGCTGTTCATCTAATGTTCTATTCAAAAGTTATTATGAATTTGTTAAGTCTAAGAAGAGTAGAATCAAGAGTATTTGTCCTTATGTTAACTTATCTTCTTGTTTGTGGTTCGATTCTTACCGAATTCATTCGATTGAAGAACTAGGTTCGAATCTCACCCATGGAATTTTCTTTGACTCAAATATCTGTGATTTTTGACAACATAAACTTAACCATATTTTTTATCTCGATAAATTCCGATCTTGAAAGATAGATCCAGTTCCATTTAAACCTCCTTCTTTACATTTCTCAAATAACTTGGTGCCGGATTTCTATTTGATTAACCGACTTGTGCTATTTGGGTTTATATTTGACAGATTTTGAGCAAAAAAAACATGCTTTTTTAAAACAACAAACTTTATAGCTCCCACTACTAGTTCTTTCTCTCAGTAAATTTTTCATTTACTCACAAACTACATAATTCTATCAACGGGCGTCTGAGGAGCTCATTCCTTCTCTTATTTATTGTGCTATTTGAATTCTGAATGGCTGTAACTTTTTTCCTGTGTTTTTATTTTCATATGTACGCTAATAAAGTTTCTCTTCAGGTTCGAAACATACTTCATAAATTTTGATAGTTTGTTGAAGAAAAATTGAGGAAATTTTCTATCAAAAAAGTTGATATATGTTTACAAACATTTCAATATGGAAGTGTAAATGTGAAATATTTTGGTTAATTTAGACAAGATTCATAACAAAATTTTGTAGATAGATTTGCGGTTTGCAGCAGAAGTGTTGATATCTATTATTCTGCATCAAAATAATTGAAATAGTTTTGTCTCGCGTGTGAACTTTTCAAGGGCAATTAAGTGTGAAATACCGAAAGTTGATTACAGATTTAGAAAATTCCAATGTTGGTATGTGCTGATTGTGGGTCACGTTCTCTTCTGAATTTAAAATAGAGTGATGTAAAACTGATTGAGTGATGCAATCAGCAGTTTTATTTTCATTGAAAATTCAAGGACTTTAAAATTTATTTCATATTTAATTGATATTTTTATTGGATTTCCTCTGAAATTGAATATTAAAAATAGCAATCAATATTTTTTTAATCGCCTTAAATTTATAAATACTAAGTTTGATCGTCATAGAGTTTTCACAGATTTGGACATTTTTATATTTAAGTGATTCTGTCAGTACGAGCTTAACCAAAGAGGTTAGGCAACGGGGATAGTAATTAAAAAATCGTGTTTTGGATTATTACGAGGGTTCGATTCCTATCACTAGCTGTCTTTTATCAATTATTACCAGAAAACCCCTTCCTTGGAAGTTGATACTCTTGATTATTTCCCTAATCTATCTCACTCCAGTGAGCAACCCAACTGTGATAGTAAGAGGCTCAGTGGGCATATCCTTGTAAATTTAACTTAAGTGCATTAAACAGAGGAGATTTACAAAGGATACCTAGTAAGATTAAACCCACAAAACCAGACTCTTAATATTGTAAATAGCAAAAAGTTTCACATTCCTTACAGTTTTACAGATGCACAAAAAAAGATCTCTTAAAATATCCCAAAATTTTCCAATTCTGCTCAAATACTCATTCAAGCACATAAAAGATTTTCATGCACGAATCATCAAAATTGTTCCATCAAAAAAATAAAATGAAATTTTCTTCTCCACAGGAAAAACAAGAAGATTTGAAATTTGCCATAGAATTTGCGTCACAATCAACCGACCCAACATCTGCATCGCAAATGGACTTTTTGGAAAAGGTAAAGAAAGCAGAAAAAAAAAATCACTTTTCGGTGTGTTTGAGAAAGCGAGAGATGAAAGATTAAAAACATTAAACGCACGTGTTGATGTTTGAATCATTGACACAGAACTAAACATACATAAACAAATATTTCCATACACAAAAAAATATCATTTCCTCGACTAATTCAATTTTTTTTTTATTTTTGTTAATTTATTTTCATTCGACACATTTTCATTCGGACCATACTTTTCTATGTTGATTGGAGAGTAGGCGAAGAAAGATCTTTCATCGCACTGTGATCAAATAGTCATGTCTCTCGCGACACTCAACAAACAGCGTTCCGTGGAAAAGCAATCGATTAGGACAACTGTCACAATTTCAAAAGTGTCGAAAACACCAGTTTTAACAACGACTAGTATGCCAATTACAACGACTAGTCAATCAAAGACAATTACGTTGGATGGGGTGACGGAGAGAAATGATCTATCAAATCAGACAGAAGCTGAGATGTCAAAGGAAATTGATGAAATTCCAAATGCTGATGTTGCAAAACGTAAAGACATTGCAAAGGAGAAATTTTTCAACGAGACTAACGGAACTGAACGTAGAGGTGAGTCAACTCATAGATCTAATAATTTTTTTTATGCACAATTTTCATTTCTCTTTTGGTGCTGAAATGATGAAAGAAATTTATGCTATAATTATAATTTATTGTAACGTCACTTTATGTGAAGGAAATTATTATTTTCTTCGTTTTGCTCTGCATCTCCACATATTGTCGAAATATGACGAATAACATGGAAAATGTATGAGAAGAAAAAAATGAGAAAAGTTGGGCAATTTTTTGCAATGATAAAGAATTGTGGCTAAGGCGCATTTAAATTTAGTGAAAGGTCGATTTTCAATTCTAGGTTAGGTTGACTAGGTAGTTCAGAAACCATCCATAGATTTCAAAATAGATTAAGTTGGGAGGAATATGGGGAGGGGGAAGGGGGGGGGGGGGTAATTAAGAGATTTTGGATTTAATTTGAGCTTTTAGGATTGAGCCTACCTGACGTTGTTGTGAAAAAATAGAAGCAGGGGTATAGCCAAGAATACGAAGAGGGGGGGATCAAAAATTTTTTACATAGAAAATTTGGAGGGGGGGGGGGGGTATTTTTAAGATTTTTTTCATAAACACATTAGGAAAATGAAGAAATTTCTGTTTTGTCACCCATATCCCCCCTGGCTATGCGCCTGAATGGAAGTCGCTGCATACGTGTCTAGAGTACCTTGGATACGCTAATATTCCAAACCAATTTTATACTTGAATGAGCTTTAGACTCGATAACACGAAATTTGTTAAATTATTCAAAGTTCTTCAAAATTCCAATGAATAATTCCATAAATTTCTCAAACTGTAACGAAATTAAGCTTGTTCTTATTATGAATCAATCCAAAAAAACAAACCGTACTCAAAAAAAAAAATCATCTTCAAATGCTCATAATACATAAATGAAACTCATTCGATCATCTCCATATCCTCCTATCATATTATGTCATTCATCCATTCATTGAAGACCCACTTCATCTATTTCTGCATAAACACACACACTTCATGTTTAATAAAAAAGATATATCCAAAACACAAGCAAAATGCAATTAATGCCATACGATGTATGACAAAATGCGCTAATATAAAAAAAAGGCTAGAAGAAAAATTATTCATTCTCATGCCTTGGCAGCGATTCAAATCAGTATTTTCAAGTGTCCACATATAATACACACATGCACACTCAACCAGACTCGGCTGTTCTCTTTTCTCAGTTTTTCTTTTCTTTTTTGTGAAACACGAGAATTGAAATGAAAACTTGATATATTGTATGTTCTTGCTTAACTACGTAACTTATTATAAAGTAAAGAGAAGAACAGAACAGAATGAAAGCTATAGTGAAAGAAAAATGTGAAATGACATGTAAATGCTATTCGAGTAAACGATTCCATTCATATGCATAAATTACGGGAAGAAACTGCAACAGGAAAATTTTAAAATGCAAGAATGAAAAAAGTTGTAATGAGCAGGAAATGAGAATTTTTATGTGCTAAGGTTGGATTTTTCCTTCCAGTTTTAGTATCGCTTGAGAATGAACGACACATCATTGATGTTGGATCAGTTGTGCATTTTCTTATGGATTTCCCACATGGAAATTTTAATTTCAATGTTTGCTTCATTAAAGCATTATTAAGAAATGCCAAGCATTCCATATTGTACAAAAACATGGAGCAAATGACTCTGTAAAGTATAAATTGTCAGATCATATGTAACAGAAGCAACATCAAAGACATTCCATTTCTAAGAAGGGTGGTTAGACACAAGCTTGCAAAAAAAAGTGTAATTCTATCCGTTTTCCTGCAGACAAAGTCCTTCAAATGTAATATAAAAGCACATGCATAAGAAGAAGGAAATAAAGAGCATAGCAAGAGAAAATGAGAGAACGCATGGTATTTGGATGAGAATTTTAGTAGGCATGCAGTGGTGGTTGAAAAACATGGATGAAGAAGAGGAGAGGAAAAAAATAATAATAACACTTTTCCTGCCTCATTCCTAATAAACTATAGCCATATATACCATGTTGAATGTATTCATTTTAGCACCAAACAGCCAAAATGCCAAAACAGCCTTAATTTCGATATAAATGTTCTAGATATGGGGGTGGATGTGCTCTCTCTCTGTATGTGTGCTGGTTGATGAAGAGGCAAAAAAAAAAGTCCTACCGGCATAAAAAATATTTTTCCTTCTTCCTTCTTTTCTTTTCTGTTGTGTTTTGTGCCACTCAGTCGATCGCTGATATTTCATAGTGTCGCAAGCATTCCAACTCACTAAACAGAATTGCCATTAAATGTGATTTACTTACTTTAGGACTTTATTGAGATTTATTATTGCAGCAAAGTGTTTATGCTTTTGTGTGCTGGATGAAGAAAGTAAATTTCTGTGCAATTTTTTTGTGTTTGTGCAAAAAAAAATATACGCGCTCGTTTTGTGGCTGGCTTTATGAGAGACTTTACCATTAAAAAATTGTTTATGATAAGAATCCACGCATAGCTTAGTGAAACATAAACATTTATGGACTAATAATGTAAAGGACATTTTTGAATGAAGCTATAAAAGTTAATAAATAAAAGCCCACATCTTTGTGCTGGTTGGAAAATTATCATGAAATCAATATTTGAAGTTTAAAGGTTCTGTGCAAGACATAATCTAATGGATTGAATTTAAATATGTATGAACTGATATATGCTTTGAATCCTTTTCTAAATTTGCATAAAATTTATTCCTGGGCTGAGTTTATTGACAATAATTTATGTGATAATTTCAATCATTAATGACGGAATTAACATGAAAATTGGTTGCGGCAATATGTAGATAACATAATTGAAAGAAAACATTTATTTTGTGACTAGCTTTTTGGTTTCATGTTAAACAATATTTGGGAAATAATCCTCAACAAATGAAATGACTAGCATAAATGACACAAATGCTTTGTTTTCTTGCTGTGCCTTAGGGACAATTTTGTCAGAGATTTCTCTTTGGGGATTGAAATGATTTATTTGCATATGATGTCCAATTGAACATAGAAATTACAGTTGAATCTGATGGTGGAAATTCATGAATTGTGACCCTTAAAGTTTCTTAGTAAACTTTCAAAAATTTCCTTTTTGTCTGTCTGCCATGAAAAATTAGAAATTCAAAACCTCTTTTTCTAAAAGTCAAAATCTTAAATAATTCATGATTGCGCGTAAATTTACTAATTCTGTTTGTTGAATAATGATTTTTAATTATAACAAACCTAAATGCTTAATAATGCAATCGAAAATTCGTTGTAAATCAAGAAGAAATGTAAACGGTTTTTGAAAATTTGAAAATTTCGAATGCGCATATTTTAATACCCCTAGACTTCGGAAAGTTTGTTGAAATTGAATTTCTACCATCTGAGTTAAATATTAAGAATTAAAAGCCTCTTAAGAGTTTGCTTCGCTATTAAAAGGAATAAGGCCTGGAAGCTCAAGTATTTTGAAGTCAAAATTCATTTTCAAGAAACAACCTTAACAAGTCGATGAATAGCTCTTGTCAATGAGGGGAAGTAAGGGGGGAGGGGGGAAGGGTTAAATTTCAGTAGTTTTCAAAATCAGTGGTAGTCAAATTGTGCTTTTTGTTTAAAAAAATTTGGGGACAGAATTTGGTCGGGGGTTAATTTCTTATTACTTAATGTTGATTGTAAACTGGCTGATAGAACTAGCTATTATCACGCTATTTACAAGCTATTTAAAATCTTCACGCAGAAACAAGCTCAATCTTTGACTATGAACTTTAAATTCAATTAATATTCCTTAAAAAAATACAAAAAAATTCATCACAAGGAACATTGGTCATTCCAACACTTGCAAAACAACCCCCCCCCCCTTTCCCCCCAAAAAAGGAAGTAAAAAAATCCAAACCATTACAAAATAGCTGACATTTCCTTGTATATTAAATTTTATGTCACTTCGGAATTTTAAGTAGCTCCACATTTGAATGTCAGTAGTGACAAACGAAAAGCAAATAAAGTACAAAGGTCATGTGAATTTCATTTAAACCAAATCTCTCTTATTTTTTGTGGGTTATTCAAAGATAAATCGATAAAGTTTTGTTGGAAGGAATTTTCATGCAAATTTACAGTCACAATACATAACCCTGAGTTTATAGTATTAACATTGAAATCAATTAAAGGATTTTGAAGCTTCATTTGAATAAAATTTTTGCTCTATTTAATTTTTAAGATCACATCATTGAAGCTTGATAGTTTTCCTTGCCAGTTTTAACACAAATTCTCTCGGATGTTTTCATTTCTCTTATTTTGTGACTCAGCTGACAAACAAACAAAAAATAAATAAAGTTTCAAATGAAAACTTTTGTTGTTTGTGTTTTTGTGCTCGACAATATTCAAAGCCGAGAATTTGTTTGATAGTTTTAAATTACGTAGGAAGTTTTTCAATTGTAGGCTTTTTGATAAATGGTATTAATGATGTGGAGGGAGCTTTTAGGTGAAATTGAATGGAATGGCAAAGTATTTTAGGAAGATGAGGTTTATTTTGGTATGGTTTTGAGTCGTTTCTTGTTTGTAATTTTGATAAATGAGTTTAAAATAACTTTGTGATTTGAATGAAAATCAGCCAGATTGGTTAAATTTTTTTGGTGAAAATTCTAGCAGCAGGGGTGACGTTTGATTGATGAGATTATTATTGATTATCGCCTTTAGTAGGTTTGGTCAAATATAATAGCTTTTATCATTGCCCAGCTACAGTAATTCTCAAATATTTGACCGGGGCACAATGACATGCTGTGTGACTTTTACAGGTGTGCGTAGATCTCCTTATAACTGCCATATATGGATACTAATGTAAAACAAGTCAGGTTTGATAGGAATCGAACCCACGACCTGAAAAGAGGCGATCTCTGACAACTCGATCAGAGATCTCTGCCACTCAGCCATCGAGGTACTTATCTTACTTCGGCTATCCGTCATACACGTATAACTAGTTTTAACACGAGCCCTATGCTCAGGCCTATCTACTAAAGATTCTATTCGAGCC